GGTGAAGACGGCCGCCAGTAGCGTGGTGGCGATGCTGCGGTGGGGGCGCCGGGGTGTCTCCGGCATCTCTGCCCGGCTGCCACGTGCCCGGCGGCGTTCCAAGCCGTGTGGACGGACCGGCCCTCACTTCCCTGAGGGCCCCGGCAGGAAGCGCCCCTCCACTTGACGGACGCGAGACGGAGGCCGGTGGCGGCCTCACGGCAGGTGGGGTGTCGGGGCTCAGGCTCCCCAGCGCGCCCCGCTGCTGCCTCCGTGGGCTGGACCCTGACGGCTCTGCGGCACGGGACAGCTAGGGCCTGGCCGGGGGCCGCTAGCGCTGGCCAGTGGGAAGCGCTCTTGGGCAGATGGAGGCATCCGAGCCCCCGCGTTGACTCGCCCAGCTGGGGGCCCCTGGAGCGCCCCGCTCTGGGGCCTGCGTTGTCCATTCTCCACCGCGCTCCCAGGACCTGGGCGGCAGCACAAGGCTCCGTGGGCCACCCCGGAGGCTGCATCCAGAGGGCCCCGGAGCTGGGAGGGCGCCGGCCCCTCGCCTGGGGGCAGGGGGAGCCGAGGGGAGCCAGGGGCGCTCCCCTCCCGGGAAGGAGGCTGTGGGGGGCAGGGAGCAGGTGGGGGTGGAGCTCTGGTCTGTTGCCCAAAGCGAGGGGACGCTTCTCCAGACGGGCTGTCGGCTTAGCAGCTGACTGGGAAAGAAAGAACTGCTCCTCCACCATCTGTCGCCGGCGAGGCTGGTGTGGGCCCGGGCTTCCTGCAGCTCGGGCCGCCAGACCCAGTTTCAGAAGCAGAGACAGCTGCCCCTGGGTTATTTTGGGCTCAAGGCGAGGCGCCCGGCCTTCGAGGCATTTCCCGTCACCCCGGAGCTGTTTGCACACCAGCCCGAGACTGCCAGCTCCTCGGGCTTCCAGCCGGCCCACTCGGCCGCTCGGGCTTCTGCCGGGCTTCGGGGGCGCTCGGGTCCCTGGGCGCGGACCCTCCTCCGTGGGGGCCGCGTCCCCACCCACCTGCAGCTCGGGCGCCCCGTCCGCCCGGGCCCGCCCCGCCCCGGGACTCACCTCTGGGCCCCGGGGGGCCCCACCCGCCCGTGATAAGCCCCCGGGATGGGGGACGAGGGCATCTCGGGCAGGGCGACAGCGCCGGAAAGAGCTGGAAAGAGAGATGCAGAGCTCGGGGAGGCAGCCTGGGAAGGTGGGGTGCAGGGCAGAACACCCCAAGAGCGCGGGGGGCCAGGACGGTTTAGAGCGGACGTTGGGCCAGCTTCCCCGCACAGAAACCCCACGCTGCCGGGCTGCGGTCAGGGAGGACGGGCAGGGAGTCCTGCAGGGAGTGACCGCGCCCACCCTGACAGATGGCCAGGGCCCGGCTCCCGGCCGCACAGGGAGGCCGGCGTGCCGGGCGGGGCCGTCGGTGCCCGCCAGGGAGGCCCAGGGCACCTCCCGCCCGAGGGGCGACTTTGGGGTGGGCACCCCGAGGGGGCTGTGCCCAGAGCAGTTCGGAATGTGGCTGTCGGGAGAACAGCGGGTGCCGGGGCGTGTAAAGGGGCGGCGTGGAGCGCCCTGTGTCCCCGCCCCCGCCGGGCCTCGCCGCATGGGAACCTCAGTGGGGGGCCGCCTCGGCCTGGGGGGGCCGGAGGGGCTGCAGCTGGAGGGCTGAGGGGAGGCTGGCAGGCGG